AAAATAGTCTTAAGGGAATTTACAGTGAAGTTGTGGTGTATATGTAGCAGCAGCACTGTGTGTGTGTGTGTGTGTGTGTGTGTGTGTGAGAGAGAGAGAGAGAGAGAGAGAGAGAGAGAGAGAGAAAACCCTGCTTTGGAGAATGACCTAATTCATAATGTTTAGTTTCATTTGTATTTCATAAACAAAGCTAAACACTTTTAAACTGCCCTGCTTGAAATTGGCATCCATTCATTGCTACTGGTGAACTTATGAAACGGATGTTTTTCCATGGAAAAATGAAGTACTAGATTTTTTTCTGTGGATGTTTTCCCACCTCACATCAGTGTTTGCCACATTTGTAGAACTCTTCAGAGAAAGGTCAGGCAGGCTAGCAGAGTCATTTATTATTATTATTATACAAATTGGAGAAATGTGAAATGCAAATTTAGTGTTGTACAGTTCCATGCCATCCCACTTTAAATCTTGTTGTGATTTCATCGTTTTATCAATATCTTGTACTGCACTTTGTGTCCTTTATGTTCGCAGATAGCAATCAGACAGATAAAAGCATCCAAGATGGGCAGGTGTGGACAAGTGATGTGCAGATATTGCCCATCAAGAAGCAGGATGCTTGGAGGATGGGGACAGGCAGAAGAGATTAAGAAGCTTTTCATAACCCTAACTAAAATCTGGTGTTTTTTAATGACAAATTATGAAGAAGCAGCTCTTATCAGCTTCGATTTTAACCAACACACTTTAAGTCAAACAAAGTATTGCTATTTCTGCCAAATAAGTTCCTCCACCACCACCACCATTTCCTCTACACTGTCCTTTCCTCCCCTCTAGGAGAGTGTGGTGGCTATTCTAAGTTCATCCCTTCTCTCTTTCTAAGAATACGGAGTTGCTCTTTTACTAAGCCAAACAACTGGCTTTCCTAGGCTGGTACTGTCAGCATCAAGTCTTGACCTTAGCATGTTCAGGTCAAAGATCTGCTATTCACGGTCCTTTAAAACTGCAGGTGTCAGGGATCAAATCCAGGGCCTTTGACATACACAGCACACATTCTACCAGTGCCTCTCCACTGCTATATGTTCTGCCACACTAAAAAAAGAAAAGAAAAAGACCATCTTTATTAGAAACAGCATTGGATTCAATTTCTACAATGGCTACAAAGACAAAACTTTAAAGTTTCAGCTTGCTAACAATGAACAGCCACTTAAAGCAGATGTGGCCGGAGTGAAACAGAAGCAAACCACAACTGAGACTCAAGACAAGAAAGATGCAAATCATAGCAGCCGTGGAGTTCTAAGACTCTGGCAGCTGTTGCAATATCTGGGAATCATTATTCCACACTGGAATTGCATGAAAAAAGAAAAACCCTGAATGAGGACTCATAATATTTAATCCCAGCTGGATTTCCCCACAGCACCTGAGCAATTTTCTACAGCCCAGTTAGTATCCAAGGCTGAACACAGGTTGTTGGTTTTTGGGTTGTTGTTTTTAAAATCCCCCCTGCCTGTAGAAAACTAGAGCAGAACAGATGATTGGCTTAGGCCAGAACACCAACCCCTGCCCATGTACAGGTTAAAAAACAACAACTTTGCAAGGACTTTTAAAAACAACAACAGACCACAGAATGTTCCAAAATGTTGTCCCCCACCTGCATTCTTAATTAGTACTAGATGGTAACACAGAAACAGAAGGGATACTGCTGACCTGTCTGCCAGCATCGAAGGCTGATTTTTCAATGTTTCTCTCTCCTCACTCCATTACTTGAAAGGTATTTATTTGCAAGTTTTTAATCCTCATTCCTTGTTTTAAACTCTGAAGCCCTGATATTTCATAGGTCTTGAAAGAAAGGGTACCGCAGCATGGCAACTGCAATTTAATGGCAAGTGGCACTAAATCTAACTCTAACAACAACAACAACAACAAGAGTATCTGAAATCCTCCTTAGGTATGCAGCAATCCAAACCGTAAGATCATATTTGGAGGCCCCTTTTTAGGTGAGGTATTTTGGGGAACCACAAACGGCCTTTTGGGTGGTGGCACCACATTTGGGAAATCCTTCTGTAAAGAGGGTCACCAGAAACCGCACTTGATTATTTAATTTCTATACCGCTTCGTATATTAAAATAGCTCTAAGCAGTGTACAAAAAAGAAAAAAGCCAATTTAAAACAAAATATTACAAAAACAGTTACACATAAAAAAGTTACATTAATATGATGTTACTAATCTATCTACCTATCTAACTATCTATCTGTATCAATTCATTTTCCTTCTGACACACCTTCCCTCTCAGCCTCCAGGTTCTCACCCAGGGTTCAAACAAACTCTCAGCTCACCTATAAAACGTTCCTGGAAACTGTGAACACCACCCTAGTCTCTCACTATAGGACTTGCTTTTGATAGGCAGGCCCAAGGTAGATGGCACTTCCTCAGGCTGCCCGCAACTGTGTCCCATTAAGCTGCACTCGACATGCCCAGCTGATGCAATTCTGATGCCAAGCAAATTGCCTTTTTATTTTCTCAGGCGTCTTTATCAGCAATAGCTTTCATTTATTTTATCACTGTTGTATATTTTTATGTTCCTTTTTTTTTTTTACTGCATGCATTATATGTTGTGCTGAACTTTTTACTCTAATGAAGATGCCCCGAGAACCCAGTTATACAACAATCTATAAATATCAGAAATAAAAAAGCACACAGCCTTAAAACATGGAAGATAAAATCTCACATGAAAAATCAGAGCATTGTGGGAAGTGTAGTTTTGTACAAAGTACTGGAAGAAACCACATGTCCCAGTTTTCCCCTTCGCTGAGATTTTATTGAGGATTTACTGGGATTTGTTGTTTGCATGCAGCAGGTACTGAAAGAGCATCAAGCTTAGAAATGAATGAAATGCAGGGAAATGGAAGTGCAGAAAAACAGGTGTCTGTCCTCACAAACAGCATCTCTTCCTCTGGAAAAAGCACCTTTTTTCCAAAACATTCTACAGTTCAACATTAAAAATTGTAAGCCAGAACAAACTGTACAACCGTATTTCTACCAGCTGGAGACAGTGAGAGCAGGCAATCTTAGACCTGAAGTTCTAAAAAGATATTAGGTGGGAAATAAACATCAAATTCTATGCTATGCCACAGAAGTAAATCATGCACTGGTTACAAGAGAATATCTTGCAAACTTTCCCTATCTTCCTTGGCATTTCAGAAATAATGTCTTCTGGATTTGGTTGTTAAAATGCTAAGAAGATAAATACCTTTCACTGTTTATTATGTCTGAATCACAAGCATCACATACACACCCCTTTGGCCTTTGCCAATATTTCTGAATGGCATATTCAACAGTGCTTTCCCACTCACCCATTATTTTTCAATAAAATCTAAGGGAGTGTTAAGTCAGGCTCCCTAAACATCCTCCCGACTTCTGCCCTGTTCATCATCTCATGACAGTTTAAGTCACCCATCAGTCAAGCCCATCGCTCACTGCTTCCTTTCAACAGGATACACTAGAAGGTGCCTGTAGCTACCACCTTATTTTTAGCATTGGTAACTTTGAGGACTTCTTTCAGGGTAAACAGATCAAGCTGAAGAACTAAGCATCTTTACTCACCCTTCTTGGTTTTCCTTCTCACCAACCTGAAAGGGATTGAGCAAATTGCACAACTTGTCTGAAAGAAGACAAAGCCCAGTTCTAAAATGCCAGCGGCCTTCCTTTGTAGCCGTCACGGAAACACAGGATACTTACAAGTAAACTAAACAAACTGTGGAGAAGGAGGAAAGAGACCAGTCTCTGTTCTTCTAGCCTAGATTATCTACAGAAGCTAAAATATTTTTTATTGTGATTCTATCCAAAGATGACCAGTATTTTGGAAAATGGACCACCAATATCCTACTTTCTAGCATTAATATATCTTATTATCATGTTGGTTTCTTTGGGTCGAGTCTCAGGATAGGAAAGAAGGAGATATTATAATGCAATACTCACCATCTGTAGAGACAGAATCTGTAATCCAATACACACTAACCTGGCAGCTTGTTCCACTAAACTCAATGGGACAAGTAAATATGCTTTGGATTAGGTTGAGAGCATAGAAAATGCACTGGAGAGATTCAAAATCGTCTTGTAAAAGAATCCAGCAAGTTTCATGTTATCTGATTCCCATTTAGATGTTCTCTATGTGTAGTGAAAGAAAAGCACACATATACCTCCCCAATTTAATGTTTATTGCACTATCATGTTTCATTTCGTTTTGTTTACTTATTGTCAAATATAATCATGGAAAATAACACTCACGAACGCATGTGTTTATTTTATGTGTGTACATATCTTACACACATATCCATAAGCAAACAAATGTGTAGGTGGGCTTATAAAAGTTTGACTTTGTTTTCATCTGGAGAAATGATTTCTACTTTAAAAGTTCAGTGCCTGCTCCTGAATATTTCCATGGAGCAGAATGCAGGGAATCAAATGTGTGTATGCGTATCTATTTACCTGCAAGCATGCGTAGCACTGTACACACATGCATGGCAAAGCACCAAAAACATTCAGAAGATGTGTTATCAAGCCTTCCCTGTTTCTAAACAGAGGGCTCCATTTGCTTTAGCTGTATCTATGTAGGGTTCAGATTAAGAAAGATGACATCATGCTCAGGACATAGCCAGATGGCCTGGCAGGATCTGTGTCACTTTAAATGGGGCTCCGTGATCTACATGCGAAGACATGTCATCCCTGCTTGCAATGACTAACACGCCACGTCTTACTATTCAATAGTGCATGCTAAGAGGCGGCCACAGAAACACTACCGCGACTGCAATGTCAACCACTTGTTAAAGATCTACTATCCAAACCAAATCCTCCAAAGGGTACACAATCCACTGAGCTGTTTACACGGCAGAAACTGAAGGGAAGCAGACAGTATTCCACTTCTCAGCCCCAAGTTATTTGGAAGGCTCATCCCCATTTAGCAACACTCAACACTTCCTCAGGGTCAAGAAGCTGGCCTCACACTTCTTCCTGGATAGCTCAGTTGGTTAGTGCATGGTGCTGATAATGCCACAGTTGCAGGTTCAATCCCTGTATGGGGCAGCTGCATTTTCCAGCATTGCGGGGGGCTGGATGAGATGATCCTCAGGGTCCCTTCCAACTCTACAATTCTATAATTCTATGAAAACAGGCCAGTGATTCTCAAACCATTACCTGTGGCCCCTGTACAGGTAAAACAGGAGAGTCAGCAATCAAATCCAATCTGGGATGGTCCTTCTTGTCACCTGTTCCAAGCGGCAGGGGCAAGCATTTCTCTTCTCAAATAATGGGTGGTTCAATTACTTTTCAGGGGCAATTGCCCACTATCATCTCTTCTCTATTATATCTGCCCCCCACTCCCTTGGGTCTCAGTCATCCCATCAACTGGCCCCCACCAGGGCCTGCATTTGAGAAAGTATAGAAAATTTAATCTTTGGTCAGGCTAACTTGGGAGCGTCAGTCTTCTATTTGCGCAAGTGGCTTCAACCAGGCAACGGAAATAAAAAGCTAGTTGCACACTAAAGGATGTGTGTGTATAAGAGAAAAAAGTTACAAACTATAGTAACTTTAATTACAGATATAAAGGGACTAACACTTCTGCAAGTGTTCATCTGAAAACAATCCCCACCCCCCCAAAAAAAATTCAGCATAACAAGAGCGATGCCAGAGATGGCAACCTGATTAGCACCCGCATCGCAGACACTCACTGCCAGGGCCTCTGAAGTTTTGAGTTTCAGTATGTGGGTATGCTGCAACTTTCCCCTTGGAGAAACGCAGCAAGCAGAACCAACACATCAAGCGGCAAAAGATGTGCCCTGAGCCTGCAAACCTATCAAGAGCCCAGAAGGCTGGAATCCTTCATTACACTTCCCAGTGCAGACCACATTCCAAAGGAGAATGTTATTTCCCCCACCTCCAGCTCCAAACAATAGGGCTTGCTAGCAGCCCACAGATCAGATTTTACATAAACAAAGCCAATCTGTGGCATCTTTTCTCATGGCCAACCTTCCTCCCTTGAACTAGGCACAGCAAAGGGAGCCAACGCGGCCAGCACTGCTTAAAAAGAGCTAAGAATGCAGACTGCTACAGGACCACAGAAGGCCGGGAAGGCACAGGCAAATGCCAGGGACATTCTCAGCACCAGCACCCAGTGTGAGACACACACACACACACACACCCCACTGCCACATTTGCGTGCATGCCAAGCCAGCATCACAGGCTGCTTGACTGACAAGGACAACCTCCTGGAAATCTAAACAGATGGCGGTTGTTGCGAAAAGGGAGCTGCGTGCTCATGCGCACACCAGGAAGGTGGGGGGTGACGATTTATGCTTCTCTCCAATGTCGCATCACAGAGACAGAGAGGGAGGGAAGCGGGCTGGGGGGCGGGCGGGGCGGGGAGAGAAATAAACAGATGTATGCTGGGAAGGTCTCAGCCCTTTTATTTATTTACAGAGAAGGGGAAAGCAGAGAAAAGGAATAACCAGGCTGAGGAGGAGGAGACTGGAATGTATGAGCTCAGCCTGGGAGGGTTATAAATACTGCAGCAGCCAAGCAAGCTAAATGGGGCCAACCTGCCCTGCTTAATTTCTTCGAGGGACAGGGCAGCAGGGAATACAGAGTTCCTCTTTTCTCCTCCACCCACCAAACACTGTTAGAATCTTGTGAATCTGAGCTAGGAAGAAAAGCATTAAAGACACACACAAACCCATTTTATTTTATTGCAAAAGTAACAAAAGGCTAAACATGCTACATGACTGGGAGCCGGCAAGCCGGGGAAAAGAAGGAAGAATCAAGCAGCCAAGAATACCCTGCCTGAGTGCGAATGAAATCAGAAAGGCTGGCACAAATACACACATGCCTTCCCAAATATTGAACGGGAGTAGGACAATGCTGCTAGTGGAATAGCAAAAGGAGAAACAAAGGAAAAAGAAAGCCAGAGAGGCAAGCTCTCAGGATCCACCTAATAGCCAAAACAATAGACCATAATAAATATTATTATGCAGAGGTGTCTAGACTCTGATCACCATCACTGGTAATAAATAGCAGCTCTTTTGGATGCTAAAATGGGAAGGGAATTTGGAGCCGAGTCAACGTGCACACAAATAGAAAGGAAAGTATACACAAATATACATACATAGGGCAAAACCATGTTCTAATCCTGAATGGGGGGGGATCTAAATCAAAAGGAGACATTAATGGAATGCCCAATGTATCCAAACCAAAGTTACAGCATTCTGCAAGATCTGGTGCTAGTCAACGGAAGTTGAACCGCCATACCAAAGCCAGAGAGAAGGGGTTGAAATCAAATCAAGTGCATCAACTTTGATGTTACTTCTGGTTTTTTTACAGTGAGTTTTTTGGATAGCTTCTCCATGCTCAGCAAACACAATAAATCATAATACCCACTACTTTTACTGTGTATTTTAAAATTTTGATTATTAATTTAAAATAGGAATTTTAGGTGACGGTAAAACCAACAATGGCTTGACTTTGGCATATGATGGACACAACTGTTTTGCAGACACTTTCCAGCAGATAGGAACAGGACGCTCTGTGAATACTCTGGTCTCTGGACTCTACAGCAGATGAAACAACTGCCTCACATATCTTCCAGATGCCCCCTTCTTCCAGACTGACACTGCTCAGCTCTTCATTTAAGAGGAGATGGGGGGGCACTGGAACATTTGGGTAAGTTTCCCATTTCTTGAATTCATCAATAACAACAAATGGATACCAATTGCAAGCACAGTATTAGGCAAGTTTGGCACTGCTCAAGTGTTGTTTTTTAATACAAGTAAACTAAGCATGCTGTATTAGAACTCTCTAGGGCATCGTAAACTTTTAGGTTTCATGATGCAAATTACTGTATGCAAATTACCCTGCTTTGCATAATGACGGCCCTTTCATCATTCATTTTCCCATTCAAAAATTCCCAGAAAGTCCACATCACTGGAAAGAACTCACATTAGCAATGCTATAATGGTGAACTGCCATTTCACCACCACCACCCCTACACATTGCAACTGGACAGTGTTGTCTTGCGTAATTTCATTCCAGCCATCTGGGAAAGTAGAGTCCTCAACATCCCACTATGACCAGTTGATGGTATACAACTTGGGACACAATAATGGTTCTGAGCACACTTTCTGAGCTAGCGCTTGAGACCAGTGATGGGACTAGGTGAGAGTAGAAAAAGCTAAAACTTAATCCAGGCAGGGAGGAAGTACTGGGGGCTTCTCTAACCCTGCACTGGGTGTTCGAAACAGGTACACAGCTTGCGAGAACTTCTGGATCCAGCCCTGCTCCTGGTTGCCCATATGACCCCTTTTTGGCAGCTTCAGGGAGTGTTCCAGCTGAGTTCCTTCCTTAGGAAATTGGGCCTGGCCGTGATCATTCATGCTCTGGTTACATCCAAATAAGATTATTGTAATGTGCTGTACATGGTGTTGTCTTTGAAGACTGTTCAAAAGCTTAAATTGGTTCAATTGGTCGGGGGGGGGGGGAGAAGTATCCCAAATATATCATCTTAGTGTTGTTCCAGCTGCACTAATTGCCAATTTGCTTCCAGACCTGATTCAATGTTCTGCTCTTAACCTTTATGGTCCTAAATGGCCTAGGAACATACAAACCTGCCCAGATATTTCATTCAACAAAGCCCTTAGTTCTTCTTACTAAGTACTGGACTATGTATGTGCATGTGGGTAGGTACGAATGCAGATACAGCTGCAACGCTGGATGGTGGTTTGGTGGTGGTGGTTTTTTAAAAAAAAATCTTCACCATGAAAAGCACAGATACTCTCTATATGCTGAAACAGGTATACAAGAATACTTTGTGAATAATTAGATACAGCCAAGCCATAGATAAAGGCGGGGGGGGGGTCCACTTGGGTTACACAGGCCCTTCCTGTCATTTTCTATCTAGCCTACAGTGATGAAAGCTGCATTATATACCAGGAACTACATTATCAAAACATGTTCCTCCAGCTGCTTCTGCAGAGTTAACAAAGGCATTCCAGCAAACGTGACAAAGATATTATCTATGAAATTCCCCATTCTTCTTCCTCTGTTTTGAGCCTAGAGTGGAGGGAGGGGAAATTTCCACTTCATCTTCCTTTCCCAAGCCAGAAATGTAAATGAGGGGGGCGGGAAGAGAAAATCCCCTTAAAAGAGCAAATCCAAAAGTCAACTGTAGGAGAATGCCATTATTAGGACCAAGTAAAACAGCACAAGGGATGCGAGTAGCGCTGTGGTCTAAACCATAGAGCCTAGGGCTTGCCGATCAGTAGGTTGGCAGTTTGAATCCCCGTGATGGGGTGAGCTCCCATTGCTTGGTTCCTGCTCCTGCCAACCTAGCAGTTTGAAAGCACATCAAAGTGCAAGTAGATAAATAGGTACCACTCCGGCGGGAAGGTAAACAGCGTTTCCATGCACTTCTCTGGTTTGCCAGAAGCGGCTTAGTCATGCTGGCCACATGACCCGGAAGCTGTACGCCGGCTCCCTCGGCCAGTGAGATGAACACCACCACCCCAGTGTCGTCCACGACTGGACCTAATGGTCAGGGACCTAACGGCACAAGGGGCAACACTTTCTATGATCCTGTGACATTATTACAGTCTAAGGACAGATAGCATAAGCAGCCTTTTTATCTGTTAGCAGCAGCATTCCAACCAATAGGAGCAGCATTCTGTCAAAGCTGGATGATGGATGGAGTTGGTTTGGAATCAACTAATGTGGAATTAAAGACCACCCTGCCTCAATTTTCATCTTGGCTTTCTCAGATTATAATTCCCAGTACTATGCAGGTCAACTGAAAAGTAAACCCACTGGGATCATTTCTCTCAAATATCTACACAGAGGGGTTTTATTTTGTGTGTCAAGTATGACAGGCCAATACAGTAACTGTTCAGGAAAACAAATGAAAGTAATTGCTTTGTTGCTTTAGTGCACTTACTATATACTCACAACTACATATATAAGCCTATCAAATTTGTCCGTGGGCAGCTTTTCCCCAAGCCATACAATCAGGGAAGAGGTAATTGTACCATGTCTGAGTATTTTTA